AAGCATCCTTTGAGGTGAATGAAGCATCTCTGGCTGCAGCTGAAATGGTCCTCTCTGCAGTTGGCCTTGACAGCAAGGATCGACAAGCCGTCCCTGGGCTCTTGGATCCTGCATGGCTCATTGGTATCTTTGATTTTGCACTGCCAATTTGACTGAGCCTCCTAGCAGCCCTTGGACTTGCATGGGGCTGTACCCTTTCCTGCAGCACTGGTTTACTGCCCTGGCCTTCCTCAACCCTCTCCAACGGCCATATTCCTGATGTCATGGACATGCCTGAGAAGCTGATCGCATCCTGTTCATTCCCCTTAAAGACAGAGAACCCCTGTGACCTGGGTTTCTCTCCCTGCTTCTCCATTCCTGAGGTGTCACCCCTGGAGAAGCTTCTCCCTGAGGATGTGGTGCTGATTCCTGAGAAGCTCATGGACAGGTCTAGTCCCTCAAGGAGTTTCTGTGTGTCTGGGTCAAGGTTGGAGAGATCAAGACTAGGCGATCTACCCTCCAAGACCTGCATAAGGATAGGAAGATCTTCCTTCTTCACAGCTCCAGACTCTGTAAAAGAAACCTGTGATTTAAAATTTTATTTGTAATATTTGACATCAAAGAAGAGTGAATCAGTCATTTAGGAATTGCTCCTTTGCTGAAAAATCAGACATGTTATATCATTCATGGGTGAATAAATCATACTTGTTAAGAGGATGGAAACAATAATCTAAACATCAGAAACTAGAATAACAAAGTTTATAGGCATGCATTTGTCTAATGAAGCACAAGTTTGGTAAAAGAAAAATTCTAAATGGACACTTAAATGAAATTGCTAGGACAACAAATCACATTGCTAATACCTAAAGTAGGGATGTGATTGGTTCTCTGCAATAATAATTAGCATTCTTCCAAAAAACAATATGAAACATTCATAATCACAAAAATCCAAAATACTGAAAGAAAAAAATCACATCCCCAGGAAACAACATTAACCTACACAACTATAAATTATATATCTACACACTAAGCATCTCATTCTACATGTTAAGTGAAGTGGAAGTAGGATATTTATAAGTTTGTAAGAGATCAAGGTGTAGCATTTACAGGTGGCTTGCTCACTGAGAGCCTTTGTTCATTGGATTGCTTTTAGGAGAGCACAGAAGAAAAGAATTACTTGGTTCACCAATGTCTTTGATAGTCACAGGTACCAATTTGTTGACACCATTCACTTTTTTGTGTGAACATCCAATTACAATAATTTCATAAGCCTTTTTCTTAGTGCAGAAATTTTAATAATTTGTAAGACTGCATATCAATTGCATGAATGCAAATTACTGTATCCTCTCTATAATTAGCAAAGTGAATAGAAAGTTTGAAAAAAAAAATCAACTGTTTGATCTGAAAAAAAAAAAAAAAAAAAAAAAAAATAGAAATCAGAAAGCTGAAAAAAGGCTATTTCTAAGAGAGTATGAACATCAGGCAGACCAAGTAGATGAAAACGTTGTGGAGAGGTGCAGGTGTTTAGGCCAGTTTCACGTCTGGAATGGTGATGGAGGAGTTGGGACGAGAATCCACACAGGTAGGAGATGGCTGTAAAAGACAGAAAGAATACAGAGGGAACAAAGTAGACTACCCCCTCCCAAAAAAGGAAACCACTCTCATAAAACTCAAAAACGTACCAACTAAGGAATATGGATCCGCCCCATTTAACAGAGGATACAGACCCCAACTTGCTGGCCGTTCCCTGATGAGAGACTGGTTCTCACCCCTCCCTCTCCGCAGCACAACCTGGGGCTCTTGGCTCTCCATTGGCTGACTCCCCTTGGCCTCCCTCATTCTTGGTGGAGCCTCGTTTTCCTTCCCCTGGTAACCTTGGATGAGGTGTTCCCCTTGCTGCTTCCTGGGAGACTTCAGTGGCTCACTCTTCGATCTTGGCGAATTCCTGAAGCTACTACTTCTACTCCTTGGTCTGTATCCTTCATTGACATTCTTGGGAATTTTACTAGCATGAGTCTCCCTCACTGGGATTCCCGAGGGCCTAGCTTTGGGTTTTGTTTCACTGCTCTTGTCATTTGGTGATGTTTGTTCATCGTTTGATATTTTGAGGTGGTGAAAGTCATCCAAACTCCCTTCGAGAAATACCAGCGTCACCACAATCGTGCCAACAATATCAGCAGAGGAGTCGACTATCCTGCATTCCCGGACATAGTCACCTCTAGTGTTCAGCTTCATGTCTGGCAACATAAAGCTCCCAACAACATCCCCATCTTGCCAGCCCTTCTTGAGACGCAGCTGCCTTCTTAGCAACTTTTGTCTTGGGGTTTCTATTCCAGATTTTTTCAGATTCTGCAATTCATTGTTTAATTGATGGTCCTCCTCCATATCGTGCGTCTTCCCAGAGCCTTCTATCCTGAGACTCACATGCAGGCTTCCAGCATCCAGAAGATACTGACGGAAGGACCGAGGGCTGCATGTTATGTGATAAACAATTCTTACTTCGCTTTTGTGTGGAGGAAGCCTGGAATGAGGCAAGACATAAAGACAGACCTTAATATACCCAGAGAAACATGTGATGTTAATCTATTCTAGTACCTCTTGAGTTCAAAAAAGTCCTGTGAAGTAAGGAAGCTAAGACACAGCCTTGTCTTACACTGGTTCATACTGTCTGAACTGCCTAACACTAGTAAGCATAAATACTGGATAATTATTGGCCCTGGGACATCAAGCAGGGATGCACATCTCTAATCTACTATGGCAGCCTGTAAACTCAGTGTCCTTTTAAAAGAACTGTATTCACCATCACACTATTTTCAATGTACAAAAAATAAAAATTGTTATTAGTACTAGAATACTGAAAACAAGCCAAATTATTACAGTAAATTGTGTTACCAATAATAGAATACTGAAAACAAGCCAATAATAACCACTGTTCAACTAGGAATGCCCAAAAGCAAAAAGCATGTGTACATCACAGAAAATTCAGGTATCATCATGATAGGGTTAATATATATTTCAACACATATAGGATGAAACAGTAAAAAATAAATAAACAAATAAAAATCCACAAAATCTCCTTGTAAAATAGGGGTACATCTTATGTGACAGCAAATACAGTACTTAGATCACTGAGAGTAGACCTACAAATATAAATTCACATGGCAGTAAACCTTTCAATATAAAATACCTCAACTGACATACTTCCCCTCTGTGCTGCTACTTAAGATTTTTCTAGAAAACTTAACTCTTCTTAAATACTAGAAAAAAAATCATGATGAACTATACCTTCTCCCATTTACAAATTCCTAGAACTAAAGCTAACTAAACTGGCTCTAAGTAATCAGATGCTAAAAATGGCAATGACTGACAAAGGAAAGAGCCTTACCGTAATACACAGGGTTGCGTGTCCCCCCACCACCTGAATGTGAAGACAAAGGTTTGCGTTGCTTTGGGAGCAGGGAACAAAGATGGACGACCTACTATCATATCAAGGCGACCCTGGAGGTTGCAAAAAAAGAGTCAATAAGAACATTCTGCAATGTTAGAAAGAATAAAATTAAAGCACTACTTCCAGCTCAATAGGTGTCATTATCCAGAGTAGAAGCAAAAAAAAAAAAAAAAAGTCAATTTTACAGTATTTGCTTAGCAACAGGAACAAGCATTTAACAGTAACTCATAAGAGCAAACAAAGCATATCATAATGTCCAAAAAGTAAACACTCCCTAAATGGATTCCCCGTCCTTCCAGATAATGCTGTAATAGCAATAGCATAATGCAAAATACTTAATGTAATACCTAACAAAATCATAATCATCTGTATCATAATAATCTTAACAAAATCAATAAATAAATAACAATAAAAAAAATATCTCCCCAATCTCTTTGATAACAGGCCATACCTGTGACGGCCCCTCCACTTGGGGAGGGAGTGTTCTGTCCGCCATGGCATTGGCTGACTGCTAAGACTTCTGGAATAAAAGAAATGTATGTAAAAATATGCTTCAAAATACAAAATCTAAAAAATGATACTGCAATATCATTTTGGGATATACAAAATAGAACTATAAGAGAAACCATGATATGGATTAAATACAAATATCAGACGAGCTTCCGTAGTGGGAAAAAAGATGTACATAAAAAAAAATAATAATAATCACATGTGTATGACTGTTGGGTGAAGTGGACAAGACATATTTGTTTACCCAAAGATTAACACACAGAGCAAAGAGTGTATTAGACTTTTACATTCTACAATGCAAGATTACACCATGGTCAATCTGAGACACCCCTTTCATATGACTTAAGCTGCATGACACATTTTGGCAAGCTTGGCGAGGAAACAAGATGTTTTTGTTTCAATTTGTAGATTATGATCCATAACTTCTACAAAATCTCCTCATTTATATTTTGCAACGTGAAATAGTCTATAAAGGCGATTGTTTTGTGCAACTATGCACCATATATGTGGGATTAACAAAAGAGAAAGATTGTTAGACAAACATAAAATACTATAAAATACGATCAAAGAGCTTATGGATACTAAGCAATTCCAAAGCAAATATATCCAAAAACAATGTGAACAAAGCATGGTAATTTCAATTAATCCTTAAAAAAGTATATTACAATATTACAATAGTTGTCCTTTAGCAGATGTGAGTTGAAATAAGTAGTCACAAAAAAAAAAAAATAATAAATTAATAAATAAACAGATATCCTATTACATCCCTGAATATGCACAAAACTCTGAACTTTGCCTTCCTTTAGGGGTCAAAGCCAAAACCGTTAATCAGAACACTGACTTCACGTAAATCCTAACACAAGGAAGCCTCTTTGATTTCCTGGTGAATATACAATGACCATCAATTGTTTCCAAAAATCAAAAATCAAGAAACAAATGCTCACATACACAAACTCACTTAATCATCATCAAACAATGTTACAGACAAGTCCAAGAAACACAAAACTATCTCCAAGATACCACAGCATAAATAAGCACCATACAAAACTACAACATCGACAAG